TGTGTGTGTGTGTGTGTGTGTGTGTGTGTGTGTGTGTGTGTGTGTGTACATGCGTGTGCATGCACCTGTGTGTAGATCAGACGTCAATGTCAGGTGTAGCTAGAGTTTTCTCTCTAGGTCCCTCCAAGCCTGGCAGTCCGACAGCCCACTTATAAAATAAACACACAGATGCTTATATTATTTAAACTGTTTGGCCTAATGGCTCAGGCTTTTTGTTATCTACTTCTATCTTAAATTAACCCATTTCTACTTGTCTATAAGTTGCCATATGGCCCATGGCTTACCGGTACCTTACATCTCGCTTGTCATGGTGGCGGCTGGCAGTATCTCTCTGACTCAGCCTTCCACTTCCCAGAATTCTCTTCTCTCCTTGTCCCACCTATACTTCCTGCCTGGCCACTGGCCAACCAATGTTTTATTTATTAACCAATCAGAGCAACACATTTGACATACAGAACATCCCACAGCATCAGGTATCTCCTCTTTTATCATTTTCTACCTTATGTTTATTGAGACAACATTTTCCTCCCTGAATTCACTGATTTTCTAGACTGGCTGGCCTTCTGGTGCCAGGGATTTGCCTGTCTCTACCTGCTTTTTTCATTTGCCCAGCCGCCAGACCGCTCCGCACAACACCAGCTGCTCAAATTGGTGAGTTTTCCTTTCCAATCCCTCGCCATTTCCCACGACTGTAGCCTGATATATATTTCTCACTGTGGGACCCTCAGGGAAAGGGGTCCTCGGGCTGCGGATGCCCTTGGGCTGCGGATGCCCCCGGCCCTTACCGCTCTCTTGATGAAGGATGGGGTAATTTGTGCCGATTCACAGATCCTTCCCTAATCTCAGGGATGCCTAAGATTGAAGATCCTTCCTGATCTTCAAGACCAGAGCTGTCGTGGAATGGGCATGCCTGACTGATGGACAACAGCCGTCACTGACTGACCTTCTACTTCCAGAGTCCTTACCCGTTCTAAATTTTGTTTCCAAGTCAGTCGCTCAATGTGGCCTTTTACTGCCCGTGTAAATAGTGGATTTTGGACACTTAAGGGACATGACAACTAAGCACCAGAGAAAATGATACAGTAAGCTGTTTTCATCATCATCATCATCATCATCATCATCATCATTATTATTTTGAGACAAGGTCTCACTATGTAGCTCATCATGTAGAACTACTTTGACTCTGTTCCTGTGCTTCTTTATAGGACACTAAGAATTTTCTTTCCCACACTGCTCTTGCCAAGGACCCAAGTTCAAGTCTAAGCATCCACATCGGGTGGTTTATGACCACCTGTAACTCCAGCTCCAGGGGCAACTGCACTCTTGTCCATACCATCCCAATATACACAATTAAAAATAAAAATAAATATTAAAAATATCTAGTGTCTCAAAGCTTTTACCTACCTTCCCCTACCCCTTCCACTCCCCTGCCTCAGCAACTTTCCTGTTTGGGACCTCTGGATCAATGATACCATCTCCCCCTCTTCACCTCACAGTAGTAAGAATCTGATGTTGCTCTCCCGGGAGTCCCAGCTTCTGTTACCTAACAGTCATCCCAGGCAGTCAGTGGTTCTGCAGGGCTTTCTTCCTTCTGACCACAAACACCAGGTGATTGCTTATCTGTTTTCAAGAATTTCCGGGTACATAAATCGCTCTACCGACAAATGTAATAAAATCATGCCTCCTCTATAGAAATGGTTTCTGAGGTCAGCATTTGGTATTCTCCCAAGAGAAAATGCTGTTGTAGTCTGAGCTCCTGTCCCACACAGCAGCCAGTGTGCGGGTTAGCTTGGACCTTGATCTCCTGCGCGCCTGTCATCCACCGCTCCTATTTAGCGCCTACTTCCCCAAGCTCTGTTGCAAGTGAGTGCATTCTTTTTGGGAGGAGATTAGGAATTCCCTCTTTCATGGCCCATTTTTTTTTTCCCCTCCAGGCGAATCCTCTCAGCTAGTCTGGCGCTTCTGGGTGAGGACAAGGACATCAAGCTTCACGGTAAAGGACACTGCTGCCCTAGAGTGCTCAGTGGAGGGGGAAGGGCAGCTTCCAAGGGCTGCCCATTGTGCCTCTTCTGGCACAGATCCAGTACTGCATTGGCCATTTCGAAAGCGACAGGGCTCCAGTCTTTGCCACATGCCAAGCCCAAGGTTGGACCTCCCTTTCATAAGTAGACTGAGCCGCAGAAGGGAGCCATCTCTTTGGTGTGTTCCCACAGGACTTGGCCCTAACCAGAAGTCATGGAGATGGGACGATTGTTCCTGAGTCAATACCTTGAGCTATAATTCCCAAGCCTTGTTGGCCACCAATGCCAGACTTCCCCCAAACTAGGAGACAATCAAAGAGGAGTATGCAGTGATTGAGCTGGGGGAACCCCACAACTCAGCTGTTGTGAGAACCACAGTGATCAACATGCCTAGAGAGGTCTCTGTGCCTGACCATGTAGTCTGGTTCAGTGCACTCTTCTTGAACACCCGCTGCTGCTGGAGCTTCATTGTTTATGCCCACTCTGTGAAGTCCAGGGACAGGAAGACGGTGGGTGATGGGATTGGAGCCCAGGCCTACACCTCCACTGTCAAACGCCTGAATATCAGCTCCCTGGTCTTCCGAATGCAGTGGTCATGTCTGCATCGTTATTGGCCCCACCACCTCTGTGGCAGTCTTTCAAGCCTTTTTAACAGAGAATGCCACATCCTGGGTTCTAGTCCTGCCCTGTGCTTCACAGTCCACAGCTGGCCCTCCCCCTAGACTGAAGCTTTGAGCTTTTACTCTACGTATATGCACGTGTTACCTACATACATCTGTCCACAGTGGAGTCAATAAAGTGCACGTGGTAGCAAGGAAAAAAAAGAAGTCATGGAGACAGGATGGGAGGCTCTGATATCCTGATCCTCCAGAGAAGGAAGTCTTCCTACGGGGGGGGGGGGGGGGGGGGGGGGGGGGAGAAGGAGGGACTCGTGTACGCTGGCTGTGTAGCTGTGGTGGAGTTGGTATGGTGTGATGAGAGAGGGCTTGTTGCCAGGGTTGTTAGCGTCAGAGCACGGGCCCTGGCAGCTAACAAGCCAGGCTTGTCTTCCCATTCTCAATAGGCCAATTAAAGAGACAAATAATGGTGCGAAGCAGAGAGAGGAGACTTACTCACTGTGGCCACACTGAGAAGAGAAAAAGGGGTCCCCCGACCCCCCATCCATCTTTGGAGCCCTAACATAAGGCTCAGGTTTAAGCAGAGGGCACTAGATATGTTATGCATAGCTAAGCAGGCTTGGCCAAGGCCTAGCTCTGCCCACCACTGATTCATCATGGTCTTGGGTCCAGTCTCTCCTACAGGCAGTCTGACGCGCTGACAGAATTGTGAACTCCCTTTCAGGGAGACAAATTCCTCTTCTGGCTGCATCTGCCTTTTGCTTCTCCCAGCAAGTGACTCCTGGGGAAATTCCAGTTTCTTCCAACCCATTGTTTCGAGATTCTGACAACCAAAAGGAGGGGCTTTAGAATGATCCCCGCTCCTCTTAGGGTGATTACGAGGAACCGCCTGTGTTTAAACCACAGACTCTTGCTTTGGCAGAGATTCTGTTGATTTGCTGTTTCTTCATTTGCCATTTGCCCTTAGGACTATTTCTAGGAAACTTAAAAGAGTTCTTTCTCTAATAATAGTTTGCATGAGTTTCACAGGAGAGCTGGGCAGGGCTGCTCGTCATGACCTGTGATGAAATACATCCGTGGGGCCAAAACTCAGAGCTAATACTTTCTTTGCTTCACACTTCCTTCAAAGTGCTCTTCGCTGTTGGCCTCCTTCGTGTATGGCTGCCTGCCCAATCATGTTTTTTTTTTTTTCTTATATCGAAAGTAGTTTTTTCACACAATATATTCGAATTACGATTTCCCCTTCCCCCATTCCTCCCAGTTCCTCCCTCCCACTGTTCATCTCATTGGTAAGAATAAGATCACTACCACAATCTTAAGCCAAATTTGAAGCAAGCCTTAATTAAATACTGGCCAAATGGATGGACTCTGGCTAGGTCCTTGCCTGGATTTCCACATTTTGCCAGGGCTTAAAAAGGCAAAACCCATAATTGACGCCATTTTCCATCAGGTCCAATCAGGGGCAAGCATACGTCCTGACCTATTTCCTGCCTATGTACCTCGCCCACTACATCCAATCCTGATGTGCTTTCTGCCCGAGTACCTCCTGCCTACATGTGATCAAGCACATCCAGTGCAGATGGGTCAACCAAACAGGACAGACGGAAACTTATTCTTCACTGTCTTAACTGCAAGCAGAACCCTGAACTTTCACGGTGCCTTGTTCCCGTCTGGGTCTCCTGTTAACGTGCACCGTGTATTGTTCTCGGTCCTGTTATAGTCTCTCACCTCCCTCCCCATCTGCATCCACCTCCTTTCTGTCTCTCCTTAGAAAACGAAAGCTGCTAGGCGGTGGTGGTGCATGCCTTTAATCCCAGCACTCGGGAGGCAGAGGCAGGTGGATCTCTGTGAGTTCGAGGCCAGCCTGGTCTGCAAAGTGAGTTCTAGGACAGCCAGGGCTACACAGAGAAACCCTGTCCCAAAAACATAAATAAATAAATAAATAAATAATAAATAAATAAATGCAATCTAAGGAATAATTATAAAATAATAAGATAGATCAATAATACAAATAATTGGAATATGAGAAAACAACCAAACAAATGAGCCAAAGAAAAAAGCACAAGAAACACATATAGATGCTGATAGGAATTTTAGCCACGCCCCCATGATAGCAGATGCCCTGGCGAGACACTTAGTCATTTTTGCCTAGTCATTTCCAGACTGTATGCCCTATGTAATCTGTGCACTACTTGGTCACATAATTTGCGCGCAGCGAGATCATATAATCTATGCACATGTGTGGTGGGCCCATATGCACATGTGTGGGGTAGTCCATAAGAAGCTGATCACAGACTCCTCCCCCTTCTTCTTTTCCTCCCCCTGCCTCCCTGCACACGTCTTCCAGAGGCCTGATCACATTCTCTTCTGTCCCTCCCTTCTTGTAATAAAACTCTTATAGTGGGTTTGGTTGGGCCTTGTGACTTTCCTCGCAGGGTAACAGCACCACGTAAAACCATCACTGGTGCCAAGATGAAGCAGGCTCTCCCAGCACTCTGTGCCCAGGAACCTGTGCTGAGGTTTTGCTCCCACTACGACTACCGGCTTTTTTCATTTGCCCAGCCGCCAGACCGCTCCGCACAACACCAGTGCTCAGATTGGTGAGTTTTCCTTTCCAATCCCTCGCCATTTCCCACGACTGTAGCCTGATATATATTTCTCACTGTGGGACCCCCAGGGAAAGGGGTCCTCGGGCTACGGATGCCCCTGGCCCTTACCGCTCTCTTGATGAAGGTTGGGGTAATTTGTGCCGATTCACAGATCCTTCCCTAACCTCAGGGATGTCTAAGACTGGGGTCTTGGATTTTTTTTTTCCTTCTCTCAGTTGCAGTCATGGAACATAAGCTTCCTCCTCTTAGACCCATTCCTCCTCTGAAAAATACCTGGAACGTCCCTGGGATGCCAATAAATATAGCCACGTAATGGCTGCTTGGAGCCCGATATTTCACGGGAATTATCTGACTTCTGCCAGCAAAAGGGCAAGTGAACAGTTACCTTATCCCCAAGCTTTTTACTTAAGCTCTGAGTCCTCCCTTTCTGATTCTTTCTCTCCTGCCCACGTGCATTCCTGAACCAGAGGAATCTCTGACTCCAAAGAATTTCTGCTTATCTGACCTCCACTCCAGTACAGGGCAGGCCGCTCCTGCCCAACTCAACTCTGGCTCCCTCCTTCACTCTTCCCCAATACAGCAGAGTACTAAACACTACAATATTATGGTCACCAGCCCAAGATTTTAAATTTTCCATGGCTGCTTCTTAGTATGTTTAAAAATTCTTCTGAGCTCCAAAAACCAGCTTAAATCCATCTGGACAGGTTGGACCTGCTTCACATAAGTATAACCCAAACTTTCCTAGTCCCTGGACCCCCTTCCTCACCCTGGGACCCCTAAATACACACACACACACACACACACACACACACACACACACACACACACACACACACACATATATATATAATTCTTTTTTTTTCTTAAGCTTTTCTCTGTCTCGCCAGCACCCTCTCAGACACAAGCAGCCAGAATCCCAACCCAAGAAAGATGATGGATGCCTCCAGAGCAGCAGATGACAATCCACCATCCCAGGATGTCTGGCCACCTCAGAAGCCTCCTTCCCTACCTCCCAAGACTCAACCAACACCCACCAAGATAGCTGGAAGCAGTTTTCAGGAGACACAATGCCCCCATACCCACTCATCTGCCATCTTTTCTAAGAATAAAGAGTACGGGAAGCCGGGCGGTGGTGGCACACGCCTTTAGTCCCAGCACTCGGGAGGCAGAGGCAGGCGGATCTCTGTTAGTTCGAGGCCAGCCTGGGCTACCAAGTGAG